ACCATAATACCCTTAATGAAAATGGGTGGAGTGTATTAAATGAGGTGGATAAGGTGTATAAATAAAGTAAGTAAAGTAGTTGTGGTATTTTAATAGTTAAAAAAGGTATTGATAAGATCTATGGTGGACAAATAAAAAGGGTTAATGGGAAGATCTATGGGAGATGGAGGGGGTATTTTTTAGTCCTAGTATAATTTTAATATTTTAAAAATAAATCTTATAACTTTTTGAGTCGACCCGAAACCGATGATACTAAGTCATGAATATGTATTATTCAATCCGAAGCCAAATTTATTGGAAATGGATGTAACATGAACCCGAAGCTGCCTGAATCCGTACCCGACCGACCGATGTGCCATGTCTACTGTCAAGTGCACTCTTCTTCACTATTATGTGTAAGTAGACCCGGCAAAACAGAATCGGAACCAATTACTCGAACCGAATTATCCGAAACCGAAATTGAAATGATCTAAAAACTGAAGATCTGATCTATAACCCAAAACCTGAAATGATTCGCACTGAACCGAAACGAACTAAATAATTCATATCCGATTTAAATTCAAAACTGATTAGATCCGAACCGATTAAACCAGAAACTGATTAGATCCGAAATTGATAATACCCAAAACTGATAAAACTCAAAACTGATTAGATCTAAAATTAATAATATTCGAACCCGATTAAAACTAAACCCGAAAAATTTGAAACGGTGTTTGCCAATTCAATAAGCATACTGTATTTTTAAATTTTTACTTTTATTTACCATTTGAACTAATTACATTACTTGCTCATTCCCTCATAAAATGGATTACCATCTTTAAAAAAATTACAAAATCTCATGCCTTAAATTTATTATATTTAGAAATTGAACATAAGTTATGCATATAAAATATTGGATGAATAAAGTGAGCCAACTATTTGTTATTAACAAATTTAAAGGGAATAAAATATATGAAAAACAGGGTGAAACATCAATTGAAAGAAATTAGATCTAAGAGTTTAAGATGAGTGAGAATTGAGAAATAAATTGAATGCTGGCATAAAAAAATTGATAAGATTAAAGAGGGAAAGTAAAAAGGAATGAGGTAAACTTTGAGCTTTAGGGGGGAAATTAGACGTAAAAACTTAAGTCTTTGATTAAATATTATATGAAAAATACAGTATTAATTTCAGTTTAAGTTACAAAATCTAATTAAAACAATCTTATTTTGAACAAAAAAACTCCCTCCATCTCAGAAAGAATGCTACATAACGCAAAACAAAGTAAAAATTTCAAGTTTTTTAAATTTATTTTATTTAAAGATTGGTATTGAAATAAAAAAATGTTTACATGTTTAAAAAATAAGTCAAAAGTTTTACAAAATAAGATGCTACAAGAATAATAGTTTATTTTATCAAATAATAAATGATAATGCGCAAACAAATAAAATTTCTTGTAATTTTTAAATAGTGAAGTGTGATATCCTTTTTGGGACGAAAACATTATATGATGAATTGTATGGAATAAATAGATTTTATCCTTATTTTATCTAGTTACAATAAGTTTTATTGGTTTGGGTGTTAATTTGATTAGTTTCAAACAAATTCACTCAATATTAGTCAATAACATTTAGGTTACGTTCCATTCATCTTATTTTTTCTGATTTGATTTTAATAAGTTCTGATCTGATCTGATTAGATCTAATCTGATCCGATTGGATCTAATCTGATTTGGTCTAATCTGATCTGATTAATTATGATTTGATTTAAAATTCAAATCAATAATTTGATTTGACTTTATAATAACGCTTGAAAATTGTAGTGATAATTCATATTTTAATATAATCAATATTTTTTTAGTTTATGAATATTTTTAATAAAATAAAATTAGTTAATTCATATATTATAATAATTATTAATATTATAATGTAATAATATTTTTTACTTTATGATTATTGTTTTGTAAAATTAGAAAATTGATTTAATATTTTAATAATTACTTCGTATATACATTAGAATAAATATTTAATTTATATATACATTAAAAAGTAATTAAATTTAGATAATTAAAAATTATGTTTTTATTAAAATATATCATCCTTACATAAGATCAAAACTTTATAAACTCAAATTACAAGTAGCAATAAAAATGTATTTTGAAAGTAAAAATTAGATTGACATTGTCAATATATTTTAAAAATAATTTTTCCAACATCTAATAATTAAAGATTACTTTCTCAGTTTTCTATTTAACTTGTTTCTAAAGTTTATTCTTTTTCACTTTTAAGAATAATAATAATAATAATAATAATAATAATAATAAGTTGTGATGGGATTTGATCTGATCTGATCTGATTGGATCTGATCTGGCCTGATCTGATTGGATCTTATCTAGTCTGATTTGATCTGATTCGATCTGATCTGATCTAGTTTGATCTGATTTTATTAAGAATTAGAAAAAATAAGTTAAACGGAACGGGCCCTTAGTGTTATCATTTTCAAAATTGATCTAGACCATTAGATTTAGGTTTAAAATTAATTATATTTGACTCTATTAAATTTAATTTTATCTAATTTCAACCAAAATACACTAAAATAGTTTATAAATTTTGCATTCAATTGAATAGAATCCACTTAATTTTACCAAATTTCACTCAAATTTTACTGAATTGTATTCAATTGGAATGTAACACTATTTGAATTTATCTTTTATCTCTTCATTTATAAACATAAATATTTTAGTAGATGTGAGACGAATTTGATATATCAAAACTAAATTTTAAAATCAATTTAATTATATTAAATTTATATCATAATTAAATATATATTTCATAATTTGTAGTCCAAATTTGTAAAATATTAATTAGAAAATAATATATATTCAAAATATATTTGATTGAAATGTATCCGAACTCAAATATATCTGAAACCGAAATATAATCGATTTATATATGAAACGTATCTGAACCGACTCGAAACCGAACCGAATCGAAAAATGTATACAATCGAATCAAATCCGAACAAAATTCAACTGATCTGAACCGAACGGATTATAACATATATTTGAAAGATATACGAACCAAAAAATCCAATCCGAAACCGATACGATTGATTCGATTGCCACCTATACGTGTGAGTGTGATATTAGTAGAAGCAAAAAAATACTCCCTCCGTCCGGGAAAAATTTTCCCATTTGGACTTTTTTTCATTTTTTTGAATGGTTGGCTTTGGAAGTGAAATGTCCAATATACCCTTTATTTCTTTCCTGTTTTACAACCCCAACCCTCCCCTCCCCTCCCCTCCCCTCCCCTGATCTCTGCCAGGGCTGGCACCCACCACCGCCATCAACCCCGGCTCCATCGTCACCGTCAGCTCCGCCAAAATTGATCCAACCCCAACCACCGTCGCCGTCGCCTCTACCACAATTGACCCAGCCTCCACCACAATCGCCCCTCAGCCCCGACGTAACCACTCAACATCAGTCGCACTATCCCTAGCCGCCAGCCCGCCACCATCTCTCCTCCAGTAGAAATAGAAAAGGGGAAGAGAAAAAAGAAGGGAAGAAGATGAGAAGATCTAGTACAGATCTATCGTAGATCTGGAAGAGAAGAATTTCGGGAAGAGAAGAAGAAGAAGAAAAAAGAAGAAGAAGAAGAAGAAGAAGAATAAAAAGAGAGAGGCAGAGATCTGGAGAAGAATGGGGGGAGGGAGGGGAAGGAAACGAAAAAAATAGAAGAAAAAAGAGGAGGAAGATGGCAGAAAAAGGGAAGGAGAGAAAGATTAGATTTAAGAGGAGTGTGTGTTGAGGATTTATGGGAGGAGAGAGAAAGGGGATAGGGGAGAGAAAATATGAAAATGTTAAGTGGGGGTATTTTTGGTAGTTAGTGTATTAAAAATGAAAATGAGAAGATTTTTTCCGGACGGAGAAAAAAGAGAAACGGAAAGATTTTTTCCGGACGAAGGGAGTAATTTTTCAAACACGATGTGAAAAAAGAAGTCTTGAGGAAAAAAGTTTTAAAAAATGAAGGATATTGTTGGTTACATGGCATCATATATTACGAAGTACTCCGTAATATTCTACACTTACGGTCCTTAAAAGTTCTTTTCCTTTCTTTATTTTTGTGCTCCACAAAGTTTTTCCATTTTCTACTAAAAAGAATGCAACTTTTATGAGTTTTATCCTACCTTTACATCATAAATTTTTATTAAATATCGACCCACCACATCATACTTTTGCGATCAGGGTATTTTTAGAAAGTCAAATTCTCTAATGGTATGTTTGGTCACATGGATTTAGATTTCAAATCCGGATTTGGCTTAAATTCCATGTTTGGGAAACTTAAGCATTTTGAATTTGAATCAAATTCTTTACATTCAAAACAAAGCTTAATTTGAAATTAATGCGCCTTCCCTTGTCATTTGAAATTCAGGATTTCAAATTTTGGAATATGAACACCATGATTCCTATATTGAATAGATTTTCTCATCTTATAATTAGTGGGGGTATTGACTATTCTAGATTGAGTCATCATAGAGTTACTATTATGTTTTTGATATGAGTTATTCCTAGTCTTAGTTCTATCCAAAGGTCTTTCCCCTTCTTTTACAAAGTTTACTTTCTTTAGTCCTTTAGATTTATAACCTAAGCCATTTTTATTGAATGGACTTTGTTGAACTATAAAGTACATATCTTTACTAGCCTTAATTATATTTTCCTAGATGCTCATGCAAGCTAGCTATTTCCTTTTCATGAATTTTACATTGTGCACAAGTTGAATCAATGCTAACTTTGCCAAGTTTTTTATTCTCAAATTTTAACATTTCCATCTCTTTATTTAATTCAATTATTTTGGCTTCAAGAGATGTGACACTATCCTTGGCCATTTTAGCTTCTTTGGTGGATTTAATAAATTCACCATAAAGATCACTAAATGCACTATGTAATTCATCCAATGAAAAATAATTATCAGAACTAGATAAGGGAGTAGAATAAGAACTAGATGATACCTCATCCTCAAGTGCCATAAGACATAAATTTGTTGTATCTTCTTCATCATCACTTGCTTCGGAAGATGAACCGCTATTGTCCCATGAAATTTAAGCTCTTTGCTTCTTCTTGAGCTTCTTGTCCTTCTCTTGCTTCAGTTTTGGACAATAGGGCTTGATATGTCCTATTTCACCACACTCATAGCATTTGGGTGGTGTAGCTTTCTTGGAATTGTCCTTTCTTGACATGAAGTTTTTCTTGACAAATTTGTTGAAGCGTTTGATAACAAGAGCAAGTTCGGGATTCTCTTCCATATCACTTGAATCTTCATCATGACTCACTTCCTCAACCTCCTTGGTAAATTTTAATGCAATAGATTTCCTTTGTTTGTTTTCACCCAGAGGATAGAGAGTAGATGTCTCATAGGTGAGCAACTTTCCCCTTAGTGTGTGAAGATTGAGTTTTAGTGGTAGTAAATTTCCCTCTAAAAGAGTTCAATTTATTCCCGTGTCGTATTCACAAGGATTGGTATGTAAATAAATTTTCTATTAAAAATTAGTTAGGCAAGGTATAATGATTGGTATTGGAAGTTTTCTAATTTCGAAAGTTTAGGTTGATTGAACAGAATAGTAACTTGATTGAATTGATAAAGAGGAATATGAATTGATTTCAGGTAATAGGCAATTTTCAGATTTCTTAACTAGTTGGAATACCAAAATAATTAATTAATTGTTTAGTGAGAGTTCTGTCACAACTACTCCATTAATTATATCTTATCTCTAAGCTTCATTAATGTGCTAGTATTGGTTGACTAAATTATTTTTCACATTCATAGACAAATGGATATAATAATTTTTCAATAATTAATTAATAAATTGGCCAGATTAATTAATTATAACTTTACAATAATTACTAGCAACTTAACATTTTAATTAATTAAATTTAATATTCCAACTTAATTAAATTTATCCTACATACCTACTACCCTATTTCAGTTCACATTCCTAAAATATTTAAGCAGACATGATAACAAATAAATCTACATAAATTAAATAACAAGACATTTTCATAAATATTACAGAAAACTTACAACTTCCAGAAAAAGCGGAATTGAACAATTCTGGACTTGAAACTCCCAAAATGAATAAGAACCAAATTTTATACTACAATTTTCGTAACTAGAGAGAAAGGAGAGAAACGAGAAAATTTGGATGGTTGGAATGGCAGGGGAAGCGCTGCTTTTATAGGCTTCCGGAAGCCCAGGCGCGCGCTTGAAGCTGAGGCGCACGCCTGTCAGGCGCCTGGGTTTCTGTTTGATTGGATTCTCCGCCGAAAATCCGATCTTGCGCCGTTTCAAATCGTCACCCCCACAGGCGTGCGCCTGAGGCTGGGGCGCACGCCCCTCAGACGCCTGGGATCAAATTCGGTCCAATTTTGGCAATTTTGATATTTTGATCATTTCTTTTTGCTCCAAAGCCTGATTTGATCTCTTCTTCACTTGTGATCATCAATTTGAAATATTTTCTTCTATTTGGCCATGATATGCTTGGAAAAACTAATTTTGAACAATCTTTTTATTAACAAATTTGTAAAATGACTTTTTATCATAAAAATTTATTTGAAATTCTTGATTTATTTTTATTTAGGTACAATAACGTTGAAATATAAGGTATCAAATAAGACCAAAAAATTGGACTTATCAAATTTCTCACACTTAAACGTTGCTTGCCCTCAAACAACAAATTGAATAATTAAAAGAATTTGAACAACTAAATGTATGCACAGAAAGTATTTTACACAATCTATTTATAGGAACAAAATATTAGGTAGTCATCAACCTAATTTACTAAAAAGATTTTTTTACTCATTTTGAAAGAAAATAAATTCTTTTGTCAAACTCAAAATTTTGTTCAAATTAAATTAATCTAGGCTTCAAAGATTAAAATTGAAGAATATTAATAAGACTAAAATCGATGTTCTCTAAATTTAAAATAACAACTTTTTCTATACTAAAATTATTATAAGGTCAAAGAATCTTTAATGATTAAATTAAAAAATTGTTTCTTGAAAAAGTTACTTTCATGATTTTTTTTTGAATAACATCACTTTGTCATGTTGACACGAGAACAAAAATACATCCTCATCCTGTGACATAGAACCACGAGCTTTTTGGATATTATTTTCTCTCAAAAACCACATCACGCAACATAGAATTGCGTGCTTTTTGGCATTCTCCCAAAATAATTAAATCTCATCATATGAAATAGAACCAGGTGCTTTTTGATTTCAAATTTTCACTCAAGAATTCAGTCTCACCAAAGTGTGTTTTATTTAAATAGAACTTTTAAAGAAACAATAAATGCTCATATTTAGAAATAGCGGAGCAGTATCTAAAGAGATTTTTAATGAGATAATTAAAAATTATTTGACCTTACAAAATATTTTTATAGTAAATATGTTAATTCAAACATTAGAGAACATGATATTAAATCTACTAATTTAGACTTAAATATATCAATTCATACCAAAGATCTTCAAAAATTTAAACAAAAATCTAAGTTTGACAGAAAAAATTATTTTTTTATGGGTAAAAATATTTTTAGAAAATTAAAGCTGATGACTGTATATATAATTTTCCTAAAAATATAAAGATGTAAAAACTTTCTTAAGAGTATTTCAACCATAACTCTATCCTCCTCACACTTAAGCGGAACCACACCCTCCCAGGTTTAAAAGTGATAAGAAACTAGAGTTATGGTGGAAAAACTCAAATGCACAAATTAAATTATTCTAATACTTAAAGAATTCAAATTGAAGATTGAAACAGTAATAAATCAAGAAAAAAAATTTGGGGAAAAGGGCGTATCGCACAGTAAACTTCCCCAAGATTGTCTCCACAAATTCGTGCATAAAATGATTTTTCAAAACAAAATCCAGCATCCAAGCAACCTGGTCAAATCACAAGAAAAAGCAAGTAAAAGTCTAAAAAAGTAATCAGAAGATCAGAATCGGGGTGGGTTTGGGTGCGTGGGTGCGGCATCTGATGCATCAGGGGTCAAAGTATGACCAGTCGAAGGGTGCTGAACTGGCGTATGAACAGGAGTACCGATATTGAAGAAGTTAGTCCACTGAGCCTCCTGCTGGTCGATAAGCCTAGTCATATCTGCCTCGTAACGCTGCTCAAATTCGGTGAACCTTGTGTGTAACTCCTCCAATCTACCATGAAACCCACTCAGCTGGTACTGAAGACTCTGCATCTGAGTACTCAATGTCTGTGCCCTTAGGGGTATCTGAAGGTTCTCCACCCCAGTAGAGCTCTGTCCCTGTTGAAATGTACTTTGTGGTTGTGGTGCACGACGGGGTCGAGGTGATCGCCCCTCTCTCGGTCTAATCCTCCGTATCTGACCTCTCTGAAGTCGAATGTGCTGTATCATGGTGTTGTCCAAAAGTCGAACACTATGCTCAAGAGGTAAGAGGTCAGGTATAGGCATGTGCTCCTGTAAGGACCTGTGAAGAAGTGTGATCAATGGGCCACAAACCACCATGATACGTGTACCATATGTCTGAGACCACAAGAATCGGGTGATGAAAACAGCCAAATTAACCTGTTGTTGATGTGTTATGCTCCAGAAGAAGAGCATGTCAGAAGAATAGACCCGATTGCTGTTACTGGGTCTCCCAAAGTAGCTCATGGACATCAGGAATGTGAGAAGCCTCCAAGAAGGCTCGGCCCAGTCAGAAGCTCGACTAAGCTGATGCTCGAAAGGAGCATCAGTACGTGCATGTGCAGTCCAAAAAGCCTGGACGTCAAAGTCCTCAAGAACAACAATGGGAAGGTCAGCAAAAGATGAATGTGAGATCTCCTCCTGAGTATATAGGCCCAATCTCCACCCAAGCTCAGCGACAGTAAGAGTATGCCGCTGACCTAGAAGAGTGAAAATGAGGCGGCTGTCATGCCTCATAGCTATCCCCACATCATCTCGTCGATCAAACCCAGTAAAGGCCGCAATGAGCACAGAAACTCAATAGTGAGAGGCAAGCTAGCCTTAGCTCGTAAGGAAAGTAAATGCTCCCAACCAGATGGCCTAATCGAGGCTTCAACATCTGCCCACACCCCGGCTGCAACGAGTGATCTTTGATCAAGAATCACTGGGGCCTGTAAAGATCGGTGCTGGGCCCACGTAGTGAATCGCTCCTGAGCCTCCGGAGTAAGAAGTGGTAACTGAAGATCATGTGCTCTCCTGAATGGATCAATCGGTGCTCCTGCCATCTACAAAAATTAAACAACGGTTAAACTTGCCCCCAAATTTGGTACGACAAGTAAGCACTCAACTCTCCCTTTTTTTAAGTATATATATATATTAAAAATGGTAACTGGACCAATTCAGTGTATTCGGGATTGGGCAGAATGCTGCCAATTAGGTGCTCTTAGGCTCACCCGAATAAACCTTTCCACAGAATGACCCAGTGCGAATGGTGGGACAAGTTCGGCTCCCGAAGGCGTCACCCTTTGTGTCCACTTAAGTACCATTCCAGCTTAGACAGTCATTCTGTACATGGTACAGATATCAATTTTAACACATAAATACAGAAAGCTCTCTCTCTCTTTTTTGTTGTTTTTTTTTGTTTTTGTTTTTTTGATGATGATGATGACGGGTTGCCTCCCATTCAGCGCTTCTTTAACGTCATTAGCTAGACGCTTTTCTCTTTCTTCATGCCTCCAAGGTTTGGAGGTACATTGCATTTTTCTCTCGAAACACATCTCCTCCTTCAAATTTCTTCAGGCGGTGACCATTGACCTTGAATTCACCATTCTTTCCTCGAATTTCTACCGTTCCATATGGATATACCTTCACAATTTCAAATGGACCATACCAACGAGACTTCAATTTCCCGGGAAACAACCTCAACCGAGAATTGTACAGAAGTACATGGTCTCCTTCATGGAACTCCTTGGACTTTTTAATATGTGCATCATGATATTTCTTGACACGCTTTTTGTATAGTAGATTATTGTGGAAAGCCAGCGTTCTCCACTCATCTAACTCGTCCAGTTGGTAGAATCTGTCCCTTCTTGCTGCTGATGAATCTAGACACACATTTTTAAGTGCCCAAAGCGCTTTGTGTTCAATCTCGACGGGTAGATGACAAGATTTCCCATAAACGAGATGGAAATGAGTAGTTCCGATGGGAGTTTTATAAGTAGTTCGGAAGGCCCATAAGGCATCATCAAGCTTCAAACTCCAGTCCTTCCGTGTTTTAGCAACAGTTTTTTCCAGAATCGCCTTCAAATCTCTGTTTGTGTTTTCCACTTGGCCTTGAGTCTGGGGGTGGTAAGCAACACCCCTCTGTGTTGGACTCCGTATCTTTGCAAATTTCTGGCCAGGGAATCATTCCGGAAATGTGTCCCTCTATCACTGATCAATACTCGAGGTACCCCAAACCTCGCAAACAACTTCTTCAAGAAACGCACCACCGTGCGCGCATCATCTTTCGGACAAGCTTGGGCTTCGGCCCACTTCGAGACGTATTCAACAGCCACCAGAATGTATTTATTCCCATATGAACTCGAGAATGGTCCAACAAAATCAATACCCCAGACATCAAATATCTCACAAGAAAGTATGTAATGTTGCGGCATTTCATCTCGACGAGTGATGTTACCCGTTCGTTGGCATTCCTCACATCTGGTCACAAATATTTGGGCGTCTCGAAAGATGGTGGCCAAAAGAACCCACTGTCCAGCACCTTTCGTGCAGTTCTTGTCCCAGAGAAATGGCCACCAACTGGCCCAGAATGACAGTGTTTGAGTATTTCTTCTCCTTCTTCTTCACTCACGCACCTTCTCACCAACCGGTCTGCACAGATTCGGAATAGGTATGGGTCTTCCCAGAAGTAGTAGTGAGCTTCCCGTTTGAGTTTTTTCTTGAGGTGAAAAGAAAGCATGGTAGGTTCGATTTTGTTAGCTAAGTAGTTGGCAATATCGGCATACCATAGTTCCTTTTCATTGATTTTCAGTATTCTCTCAAACGGGAATGTCTCATCCACCTTGCATTCCCCGAATTGATTAGCCACCTCCGTATCGAGACGAGAGAGGTGGTCAGCAGCTTGATTTGCAGACCCTTTCCGGTCCTTAACCTGTACATTGAATTCCTGCAAAAGCAGCACCCAGCGTAATAGCCTAGGCTTTGCATCATTCTTTTGAAGTAGGTATCTTAATGCCGAATGATCGGTATAGACAATTACTTCTGAAAGAGTGATGTAAGGCCTAAACTTTTCTAGAGCATAAACAATGGCCAAGAATTCTTTTTCAGTGGTTGTGTAGTTCAGTTGTGGTCCCGACAATGTTTTGCTAGCATAGTAGATCGGATGAAAGTTTTTACCCTCTTGTTGGCGAAGAATAGCCCCGACTACTTCATCACTAGCATCGCACATAAGTTCAAATGGTTTGGTCCAATCGGGAGCCGCAAGGACTGGTGCTGTGATTAACTTCTCCTTCAAAGTGTTAAAGGCTTTTAGGCATTCATCATAAAAAACAAATTCGATTCCCTAGTCTAGCAGGTGGGTTAACGGCTTAGCGATTTTCGAAAAATCCCTTATAAACCTCCGATAAAAACCAGCGTGGCCACGAAAGCTACGGATGGCTTTAACAGAAGTTGGTGGGGGAAGTTTTTTGATGGTCTCAACTTTAGCCCTGTCAACTTCAACGCCCTTGCTAGAGACCTTATGCCCTAGTACGATCCCTTCCTTGACTAAGAAATGGCATTTTTCCCAACTCAAAGCCAGGTGGGTCTCCTCGCACCTCTTTAGCACTTTCTCCAAGTTTCCAAGACATTCTTCAAATGATTCCCCAATGATGGAGAAATCATCCATGAAAACCTCCATGAAATCGCCTATGAATTTCTCAAAGATAGCAATCATGCATCTCATGAAGGTGGCAGGGGCATTACACAAATCAAAGGACATCCGACGAAAAGCGAAAGTTCCAAATGGGCATGTGAAGGTGGTCTTTTCTTGGTCCTCGAGATTAACATGTATTTGAAAGTAACCACTCATTCCATCGAGGAAACAATAATAGGCATGCTCTGCCAGTCTCTCAATTAATTGGTCAATGAAGGGAAGGGGAAAGTGATCCTTCCGGGTGGCATCATTTAACTTTCTGTAGTCTATCACCATTCTCCACCCGGTGACCGTTCGACTAGGTACTAAGGCACCCTTCTCATTTTTCACAACAGTCATTCCTCCCTTCTTCGGGACAACATGAATAGGACTAACCCACCGACTATCAAAGACTGGGTATATAATACCTGCGTCTAACAATCGGAGGATTTCCTTTTGTACTACCTCCATTAGTTTTGGATTAAGCCTCCGTTGTGTTTGAACAACAGGCTTGAACCCTTCTTCAATTGCAATTTTGTGGGTGCAAAAGGCCGGGCTGATTCCTTGAATATCCTCCAACTTCCAAGCAATTGCTTGCTTGTGCCGCCGAAGAACGGTCAATAGTTCGACCTTTTGATCCACAGTCAATTCAGATGCGATGACAATAGGGCATTTTCCCTCGTCATCAAGAAATGCATATTCTAAATGTTTGGGAAGTGGCTTCAGTTCTAGGGTATCAGATCCCTTTGTTTCCACTTCCCGAACATCCTCACACTTAATCCGTTCATTCTCTTCCTCCTTCAATACTGCCTCTAGACCAAGAAGCGTCTCGACAGACCCTTTGTCCTTCAATATTTTGACAGAATGACAAAATTCAGTAGGGTCTGGAGAATTGTGCATCAGGTCCTTTAGTTTGAAGGTACACTCATCCTCTCCAACTTTTAAAGTCATTTCCCATTCGTGAAAATTAATTAGGGCCTTAGCAGTTGCTAAAAATGGCAGACCCAAAATTAGAGGCATTTCTAAATCCTCTTCCATATCAAGAATCACAAAATCGGCTGGGAATGTGAACTTATCAACCTTTACGTGTATGTCCTCAACTATTCCCCGAGGGTAACGGACAGAACTATCCGCTAATTGAACACACATCCGTGAAGGTTTAAGTTCAGTAATTCCTAACAGTTCCATGATTGATGTGGGCATCAAATTAATGCTCGCGCCTAAGTCTGTTAGCGCATGTTGAAAGTGCATGTCCTTAATTAAGCAGGGGATAGAAAATTTACTTGGATCCTTGCACTTCTCAGGTAATTGTTGGAGTAGCAACGCAGAGCAGCTCGCATTCAGATTGATCATTGAAACCCCTTCCCAGTCCTTTTTATGCATTACCAAGTCTTTGATGAACTTGGCATACTTCGGCATCTCAGTTAAGACATCAATCAAGGGCAACTTAACTTCCACTTGGCCCATGATGTCTAGAAACTTCTTGAAAGCTTGATCATCATTCTTCTTCTTTACCCTTGATGGAAAGGGTACGGTCACCTTCTTTGCTAAGAGATTGCTGTTTGGATGATGGGACTGTGAAGGTTCCTTATCCTTCCTTTCTTCTTTCTTTTCTGGTTCCTTCTTCTTTTCTTCAGTTGGTTGACTAATTAGTTCAACCTCAGACTCCTCCTTCAATGTTGGTTCAGTACTTTGACCAACGCCTTGAACTTCCTTTCCACTACGTAGAGTAACAGCGTTAAGATGTTCGCGTGGATTAGTTTCAGTTTTGGCCAGGAGAGTTCCAAGAGGTCTGATTGTCATCTTATCCATTAGTTGTCTCATAGATTCCTCTAACATTTGAATTCGTTCTTCACTCTTTTTATTTTGCTCCTCCATCATCCTCTTCATTTTGGCCATAGGATCCTCAGCTTGTCTTTGGTGTGGGGGAACATACACTTGAGTATTTCCCCCTTGGTTATAGCCAGACCCTCTTTGACTATTCCAATTAGTGTTGTTATTCCAGCCGCCTTGTTTGTAATCGTCCCTTGAACGATTATTTCGCTGGAAATTGTTTTTGTTGCGCTCCCTCGAAGGATCATCGCGCTGATAAACTGGCTGGTACTGATTAGGGGCCCATGGTCCTTCCCCTTTGTTGGCATATTGTGCCAAGTGTACTTCATGCGGCCGTTCCTTTGTTGTGCTTTCATTGTACGGGCACTGAGATGTCAGATGTGCACCTGTACAAGATTCACAAGACAGGACCAGTTCATTTTGGTGTGAACTAGATCCTCCTTGATAGTAAGCATCGTCCTGAGCAATTGATTCATGTTGTTTGTTTGGATGCGAACTTGCACTGAACTGATCTTGGATGCTTCGCTTGATGAAACTTTCCATACTTGCCTTGAGTTCTGTGAAAGTGTCCACCTCATACATTCCAGCTTTTTGCTGTGGAACTCGGTCTTCGTACCATTATTTTGCATTTGATGTGAGTTTTTCCACCAATTCCTCATTTTCCTCCGGCATCATATCTAGGAAAGAACCGACCTTTGAAGAGTGGTCTAGTTCTTTCTTCGATGAAACCAGAAGTCCTTGGTAGAAATGGAACATTAGGCTGTCAGGATCAATTAGAGCAGGTGGACATTTGAGCTTCAGATCCTTGAATCTTTCCCATGCTTCACTTAAAGATTCAGTCGAATTTTGAGAAAAACTCTGAATAGATCTTTTAATTTTTGCAATGGCAGATGGTGGGAAGTATTCGTGCATGAAGGCTTGATGAAGCGCCTCCCATGTAGTGAAATGTCCTTTCAGGAACGTATTCAACCATCATGCTGCCCTATCTCGTAGTGAGAAGGGAAACAGTGATAGTTTAACACGATCGACAGACACTCCATTCGTTCTGAATGTTTGGCAAGTTCGTGAAAACCATAACATGTGAGCTCTTGGATCTTCATTCTTAAGACCCCCAAATTGATTCTTCGAGACCATTTGGATCATTGCGGGTTTGATCTCGAACGTGTGGGCATCAATATTGGGAAGTCCAATTGGATCTTCCTCAGTATATGCGGGGCTCATTGCTTGGAGCACCGTCCGTCTCATTATGTTGTTATTGACCTCCTCCATTTGAATAACAAGTTGCTCAACTTCTTGTTCTTCTTCTTCAGAATTCTCACCAGGTGAATTTTTAGGTTGGCGGAGAATTCCTTCAAGATTATCAGTGTACGGAGCAAAACTACCCCCACTAGTAGAGCGGGTTTGCATGTAGTTTGCCAAATAATGAAAAGATGATAGAAAATCGACCTAACCAATTTTCTTCCAGGCTAACTAAATTTTTAAAAAAAACGCGCCGATCCCCGGCAACGGCGCCATTTGAAGATTGAGTTTTAGTGGTAGTAAATTTCCCTCTAAAAGAGTTCAATTTATTCCCGTGTCGTATTCACAAGGATTGGCATGTAAATAAATTTTCTATTAAAAATTAGTTAGGCAAGGTATAATGATTGGTATTGGAAGTTTTCTAATTTCGAAAATTTAGGTTGATTGAACAGAATAGTAACTTGATTGAATTGATAAAGAGGAATATGAATTGATTTCAGGTAGTAGGCAATTTTCAGATTTCTTAACTAGTTGGAATACCAAAATAATTAATTAATTGTTTAGTGAGAGTTCTGTCACAACTACTCCATTAACTATATCGTATCTCTAAGTTTCATTAATGTGCTAGTATTGGTTGACTAAATTATTTTTCACATTCATAGACAAATGGATATAATAATTTTTCAATAATTAATTAATAAATTGGCCAGATAAATTAATTATAACTTTACAACAATTACTAGCAACTTAACATTTTAATTAATTAAATTTAATATTCCAACTTAATTAAATTTATCCTACATACCTACTACCCTATTCCAGTTCACATTCCTAAAATATTTAAGCAGACATGATAACAAATAAATGCACATAAATTAAATAACAAGACATTTTCATAAATATTACAGAAAACTTACAAGTTCCAGAAAAAGCGGAATTGAACAATTATGGACTTGAAACTCCCAAAATGAATAAGAACCAAATTTTATACTACAATTTTCGTAACTCGAGAGAAAGGAGAGAAAAGAGAAGAATTGGATGGTTGGAATGGCAGGGGAAGCGCTGCTTTTATAAGCTTCCGGAAGCCCAGGCGTGCGCCTGAAGCTGAGGCGCACGCCTGTCAGGCGCCTAGGTTTCTGTTTGATTGGATTCTCCGCCGAAAATCCGATCTTGCTCCGTTTCAAATCGTCACCCCCACAGGCGTGCGCCTGAGGCTGGGGCGCACGCCCCTCAGACGCCTGGGATCAAATTCAGCCCAATTTTTGCAATTTTGATATTTTGATCATTTCTTTTTGCTCCAAAGCCTGATTTGATCTCTTCTTCATTTGTGATCATCAATTTGAAATATTTTCTTCTATTTGTCCATGATATGCTTGGAAAAACTAATTTTAATTTTGAACAATCTTTTTATTAACAAATTTGTAAAATGACTTTTTATCATAAAAATTTATTTGAAATTCTTGATTTATTTTTATTTACGTACAAGAACGTTGAAATATGAGGTATAAAATAAGACCCTAAAATTGGACTTATCAGTGTGTCTTACGTCAAGGTGTTGTAGTCTCTTCCTTCACTAAGAGCATTGGTAGCGGGAAGGATTTGCCTTGCCATGCCCTACCATCCGTGGAGATCCAAGAGACACAGCTAGAGTGGAAGAAATTGGGTCGCGTGGCGTGTCGGGAGCCACTCCAATCTGCGAGGCGAGTGCGAGGCAAATAGGAGCACTACGATCTGGCCGCTTCTCGTCTTTATCCTCTTCGGAAATCACCGGCGGCACCCCTCTTTGGAAGTCAGATCCGCTTTAGCCACCATCGTCGTGCCGAGTTGAATGGCATCGCTGTAGGCAAGACGCTGTTATCCATTTCGTAGTTCCAGAGAGCAATTCGGAATGTGCGTCGGACGGCTGCAAGCCGGTCGAAATTTGATGGATCTGACTCCGAAGTGAGTGAACAGAGATGCTGAGGCCGTGCAACAGTTCTAAAGCTTGTTCTCGGCCCCTGTTTCTCTTTTTTTCCATTTTGGCATGTAAAAAAATGTCAAAATTGCAAAGTAAACAAAAAAAAGTGACTTGCCACTGTAGGATAATGTCATGCCACTGTGTGACTAGATTGGTTTTGATTGGTCGAATCGTGCCATGTCAGCGTGTGACATTCCAATGCATGCCTTGCCATTATTCATGCTCTAATAGCTCTTACTTCAGATTTCCACTCGGGAGTCATGCATCGCAAGATTTTTTGAACTAAATCATGATCAGTGTAGTGCTTTCCGAGAGTGTCAAGATTATTGATAATGTTTGAGAATCTCTCAAAATAACTATCAATGCTTTCCTTTTCTTTCATTGAGAATAATTCATATTCATGAAGTAGCAAGTCAACTTTAGCATCCTTCACTTGGGAGGTGCCTTCGTAAGTTACCTCAAGCTTGTTCCACATTTCACTAGCGGTTTTGCATCGTGAAATTTTTCTATAGTCATCAGGACCGCACAATAGAGATAGTTGATGGCTTTGGAATTTTGCATCACATTCTTCTTATCTCCATCATTGAACTCGTATTCCAATTTGGGTACACGAATTCCATCAACAATCTTAAATGGAGTAGTGTCTCCATATTTGATAACCATCCAAGAATCGTAGTCGTTTGATTGAATAAAAATTCTCATTCTTTCTTTCCAATAAGCAAAGTTTGTTTAGTCAAAAAGTGGAGGACGAGTAGTTGATTGTCCCTCGGATATCCCTGCTTGAAATGATCTTCCGGCCATGATCGTGTTTCCTGCGGTAAAACTATGGAAAACAACAAGCTCTGATACCAATTGTTAGTCGCCTTTCACACCTCTAGAGGGGGGGAGGTGAATAGAGGTGTTCACGAAATAATAAAATTTTTCGCAAGACAAGAGGAACGCAGGAATAAAATATAAAAATATAGAAAATAATGAATGCAAAGAGACACCGATATATCCTGGTTCGGCCTAATGCATACGTCCAGTCCCCAAGGCAAATGTGCCTGAGATTCCACTAATCTTTGTTAAACTTAACGGAGTTTAACAATCCGAATACAACTCGAGAACTTGATTTCAAAAGGCTCTAACCTTTCCACCGAAGTTTTGATTGCACAAGACTATGGATTTCAATCCAAAAACTTGAATCTTTCAAATTCAAGTTTTTACAATTTAAAACTTACAAAACAGATTGCACAGCGGAAATGACTCTTCGAACAAGAGCAGATATGCTCTAGATTACAATAAAGTTATAGTGTATGGCACAGCAAACTCTCCAAACTTCAATTGAAAAAGATTGCTCAATGAAGTACTTGCAAAATTGAGTAGGAGGATGATAGATCGAATAAAACTCTTTGAATTAGAGATGAAATGAAGAATATATTGAGAAATGAGAGATTAAAATTTGATAGTTGAGTGAGAATGTGTGATATTTTAATAAAATGTAGCGTATATTTATAATATATTATACCCCCTCCCCCAACTCCCCCCCCCCTTCCCCTCAACGGCATTCTAGCCATTTGAGGAAGTCCCTCCCCCACTAATGCACTACTTTTTTGCAGGTGGCAGTTGCCAAACTGAGAGACAAAAGGAAAAAAAATAGGTTACCGGAACCGGTACCGTGGGGGGGGGGGGGGTGTCGATACCGGTTCCCCGGAACCGGAGTGGTGGGTCGGTGGCCGGTGACAGTATGGGTTGGTAACGATACTGAACCGGTAGCGTGTCCAGGCCTATTCCTGATTAGTGAAATTTTTTACTCCCTTCGTCCTAAAACTTTCTTCCCAGAGCACTATTCCAACTTCACGGGAATTTATATTTATTTGTGTTTATTTCATGGCCTATATGATAAAATAAAATATTCTTGTCACCACTTGTTTTGTTGAACTCTTGATGTAGTTTTTAAATATGTATGTTTTATTTTTTATTTCTATACCAATATTTAAATAAAATAGATTGAAAAAACTTGGATTTTTCTTCATTTTGCGCAACGGGAAAGAAAGTTTTAGGACGGGGAGTAAAAAAAACTCTTCCCAACTAATGAAAGTCATTTCTGACAATGGGGGTAGTGACATATGTCCATAGGGACTCAATCTATTGTTCAAAAATTTCTATTTTCTACCATTTGACCCTTGTTATTTTGAAAAAATACGAAATGTTTTATTTCATTTTTTAAAATTTTAAATTATTGTTTTTAAATTCATTCACATATGAATTGAAATTGTTATTTTTAAAAAATTGTTGGTCTCACATTACTTCATCTAAATTATTGTTTAAAGTGCAAAAGTATTCAATGTAAAACAGAAAGAATTATTTTTAAAAATTAACCAAATTACTAAAAAGACAATATAAAAAAATGTCTATGAGCCGAAGTCATTGTTGAGAGAATATCCTGGAACTATGTAGTGACTCCCCGTACTACACCACCTATCGCGTGTTTGTCTTTGTGGTCGATGGTGAACTAAACAAATAAGATTATTTTAATTAAATTGTGTAACTTAAAACATTAGTACTATATTTTTAATATAATATCTAATCAAAAGCCTAACTTTTCATGTCTAACTTTCCTCCCTAAAATGCAAAGTTTCCCGTTCCTTTTCAGTTTCCATCCTTAATCTTATCACTTTTCTAACAGTGTCATTCAACCCTCTTCTCAATTCTCACTCACATTCAACTCTTAGACCTAATTTCTTTCAACTGAAGTTTCACCTTGTTTTTCAAATATTTTATTTCCTATAATTTTGTTAAAAACAAAATACTTGGCACACTGTATTCGTCCAATATTTTATAAGTATAACTTTTGTCAAATTCTAAATACAATACATTTAAGGCATAAGTTTTTGTAATTTTTTTAAAAAAATTGTAATCCATTTTATGAGGGAACGAACGAGTAATTTAATTAGTTCAAATGGTAAAATAAAAGTAAAAATTTAAAAATATAATATAATTATTGAAAGGGAAACATTGTTTCAGATTTTATCAATTTTAGTTTAATCGATTTCGAATATTATCAGTTTCGGATCTAATCGGTTTTGGGTTTTATTGGTTTCAGGTATAATGTATTTTAGATCTAATCAGTTTTAAGTTTCATCGGCTCGGATATGATCGGTTTCAGATCTAATCAGTTTTCGCATTTAAATCAGATATGAAATATTTAGTTCAGTTTTGGTTGGAATTTGATTGAAATAAGTTTTTATTTGATTTAAATATAATTGAGAAATAATTGTTTTCTGTATTCATCTTATGGAGTCAAGCCCCGTATATATACAAAGTTATCGGTCTCCTAACTATGGTAGAATACAAACAAGGAAATCCTATACAAAGGAAACTACCATATATAAATATATTAAATATACAATAATATATTTAACATGCTACCAACTACGTGACAGGCGATGGGCGGATGCCCAGACTGTGCCTGAAGTCGGAGAAGAGGAGAGAAGGTAGCCCTTTGGTAAAGATGTCGGCATACTGGGAGGAAGAGGGAACATGGAGAACACGGACCTGTCCGAGAGCAACCTTGTCCCTGACAAAGTGTATGTCAACCTCTACATGTTTCGTGCGCTGATGTTGTACTGGGTTGGTCGATAGATACACTGCACTAACATTGTCACAAAAGACCAGAGTGGTGCGGCGCAGAGGTTGCTGAAACTCAAGAAGAAGATTTCGGACCCAACTTGCCTCAGCCACGGCATTTGCAATTGCTCGATATTCAGCCTCAGCACTCGAGCGGGATGTGGTGGCCTGTCTCTTGGAGGACCAAGAGATGAGGTTGTCACCGAGAAAAATACAATAACCAGAGGTGGAGCGACGAGTGTCAGGACATCCCGCCCAATCAGCATCAGAGTATGCCTGGAGCGAATCTGTGCGTGTACCATGAAGAGTGATCCCATGAGTGGTGGTGCCATTTAAGTAGCGAAGAACACGCTTCATGGCGGTGAGATGAGTGCTGCGGGGAGCATGAAGATGGAGACATAGCTGCTGGACAGCATAGGTGAGATCCGGCCGTGTGAAAGTAAGGTACTGTAATGCTCCAACAATGGACCTGTATAAGGTGGGATCGGAAAGTGGTGTGCCAGAGGAAGCCCCAAGTTTTGCCTTTGTATCAACAGGAGTGGAGATGGGCTTGCAGTTGAGCATGTCTGCACGTTCCAAGATCTCGTGAGCAAACTGAGTCTGATGAAGGAAGAGCCCCTGTGGTGTACGCTGAACATTAATCCCGAGGAAGAAATTAAGGTCACCCATATCAGTCATGGCGAATTCCCCTTTGAGTTGCTGAGTGAGACGCTGAAGTAAAGGGGATGAGGAGGCAATGAGTACAATGTCATCTAAATAGAGCAACAAATATGCCATGTCGTTCCCCCGGGTATAGACAAAGAGGGATGTATCGCTCTTGCAGCCACGGAAACCCAAGGTGAGGAGGAAGCCTGCAAAGCGATGATACCAAGATCGGGGAGCCTGCTTAAGGCCATATAGTGCCTTCTTCAACCTGCATACATAATGGGGCCTGGCAGGGTCCTGGAAACCGGATGGCTGACTGGCATAGACTGTCTCTTGTAGTTCGGTTCCGTAAAGCTCAACAGGATTGGAACGTGAAGCTTCACATTGGAGATGGTGGTGAATGCCAAGTGAGGAGTAGAGACGGAGGAGGTGGGCTTGTCGGGGGTGGCTGCCTTCTCGGACATGATGGCGGATGGTGCTTTGGAGAAGAACGCCGCTGCAGAGACTGGAGAGATGACTGGTGGTGGCGCTGCGGGGAGACGTCTGGGAGATGAGAGAGACGTCGGCGCTGGAGAAGGCAGGCGGCCCTAGGGTTTGGTGCGACGGAGAGCTGCCCATGAAAAAAAATTTAGGGTTTAGGAAAGAGGCTCTGATACCATGAGAAATAATTGTTTTCTGTATTCATCTTGTGGAGTCAAGCCCCGTATATATACAAAGTTATCGGTCTCCTAACTATGGTAGAATACAAACAAGGAAATCCTATACAAAGGAAACTACCATATATAAATATATTAAATATACAATAATATATTTAACAATAATTATATTTAAAATTGTTTTTCATTTGATTTCATTAAGAATAAATAATAAATTGATAATAATCACTTTCAAGTTTCAACTTAGAGATCAATCCAAACCAAATAACATTTGGTCACATACCTTTCCTAAGAGAAACTCCAAAGGGTGTAGTTAAATTGAAAAACGTATATATTGTTTATTTACCTTCTCAAACAGAAAAAAATATATACCTTCTTAAAAAGTAAAAATTCCAAGGGAAGAAGGTAGATAAAGAGGTAAAATTGAGGTTTGTTACATTTGTTTTTTTTTGATAAATTTTGATCGGAATGCCTTCTCTTCACCTTATTTAAATAATTTTGATTAGAATAAATTCAAATCTAACTTAATTTGAATATAATTATATTTACACTGTCTTTGGTTCAAGGAATTTGAAAGTGAAAAGAGAAAAAATTGAAATGGAAAACAATGCTTTTTGTGTAGTTAGAGAGGAAACAAAATAAAAGTGGAAGAAAAGGAAAATGAGAAGACAAAATGTGTAAAGAAAAAGGAAAATTTAATTCCTCCCATTTTAGAATGCAAAATGAGAAAAGGTTATTTTTTTCTTTTTCTTCCGAATTCCTTGAAACAAACATAGTTTTAATGTAATTTCTCATTTAATTTGATTTGAATAAAAATAAATAATAAGTTCATAATAACTCTCAACTTGCGCACCCATCCAAACAAAATCTCAACATTTGGTCCCAAACCTTTCCCAAGCAATCACGAATCGGGAAAGACGCCAAATGGGAGAAGCTCTGAGAATGGAGATCACGGCGCAGGAGCTGAAGCAGTACGACGGATCCGATCCGTCGAAGCCAATTTACGTCGCGATTAAGGGCCGCATCTTCGACGTCTCCGCCGGCATGTCCTTCTACGGCCCCGGAGGGAACTACTCCGTCTTCGCCGGCAAAGACGCCAGCAGAGCCCTGGCGAAGATGAGCAAGGAGGAGCAAGACGTCTCCCCTTCCCTCGAAGGTCTGTCCGAAAAGGAAATCGGAGTCCTGGCCGACTGGGAGAAGAAATTCGAAGCTAAGTATCCTGTCGTTGGCAATGTTATTCAATCCTAATCCCTAATCGATTTCTGCATAATTTATAAAAACATGCTTCAATCAATAAGTATATAATACTATAAGCAAGCAATTTGGTGATTTTCGAGTTTTTCGGTTGAAATGTGTGCTTGACTTATATTCTTATTGTTGTGTCTTCATCATCATCATCATCAGATGCTATGATCTTATGAAAAAGGTCTTCTTTCCAAGAAATAAGAATCTGATTGTTACCTTTCGTGTTCATGAATTGGCTAGGAGTACTTTGTGTACTGAGTCTGAAGTTTCAGAAATCAATAGATCCATGAAGGAAAAAGGAACATAGAATATGAATGTTCATCCAACTCCACTTCTTTTCCTTTCCTCCCCATTTCTTTTCCTATCCAAACAAGAGAAAATGTCTCGAAATCCGTGTTTTCTTATCTTGAATTCTCATTCCTCTCCTTTTCCACACATCCAAGCAAGGGTTAGTGTTAGGAGGAAATGAAATTTTGAGAAGGAAAAAAGTTGCTCAAACTCATTTTGTTGATGCATTTCTATTACATATAAATACTTAAGAAATACATGCAAGATTTTAATTTCTTTCAGTTTTAGTTTTGATTTTCCTTGATGTTTTCCAAGATTATATAGGGTACTGTCCTGGATAGAGTAAACAGGAGGCACTGAGTTTGAAGTGAGTTATTCATTATACTGTGTCTGTTTATATACCTATGGATGTTTACACATGTTGGGTGCCTGGAATTAGGAGATTAGAAATAGAGTTGAATCATCTGCTAGTACCAGTTCATATTGTACTTGAACAGACTCTGTATTTGTTTTCCCCCTAGACACTACTTCTGCCTCTTAAGCCATCCGTGTAATTTATATTCACTTCTCAGCCTCCTGTGCAATTTAAGTATCAAGAAGATGCAATAGTGAGAGGCGTTCAATGAAGAGCGGATGGACGAACATAATTACCCGTACAGGCGGGGCGGAGCGGCCGACTCGTAAATGGGTGGATCTGAGAATCAAGATTGGCCTGTTAGGCCAGCAAGGCCCCCATAAGTCTTGTTCATCTCTTCCGAATCTTAGTACTCCCTCCATCTCTTTTGAATCTTTCCATTTGATTTTCACGCTCATCAATGCAATACTTTGACCAGTATCTTTATTTATCAATACTAGATTGTATACTTCGTATATTATAAAATGTAATATTTCAAACTTATATTTCAAAGTAAACTAATTATAATTAAATTTATATATCACAATTTAATTTACTTTTTCCAAAATGAAATAATTGATATTAAATGGGTGTTTCTTTGTGCTTATAAACTGGTCAAATCTGCTTATAAGTAGTTTTAACTTATAAGTCATTTGATGACATATTTCTCCGTTTTGATCAGATTATTTACAAAACTATCTCTCGTCATTTATGAATATTCTTAAATGACTTGTCGATCATTTAAGTCATTTTACTTCCACAAAACAATATTTGGCTTATAAGCAACTTATATGTTAAAAAATGATTATCATCAATAAGTCAATAAGCATAGAAAAACACTCCCTAAATTTATATCACAAACCAAAGTGGGAAGTTGTAAAAGAGATGGTGGGAGTACTTTTTTACTGTGGAGCTCTTTAGTAGTGAGTGTGCTAGACACAAGAGTTTTGGGGTACAAATGGCAATAGAGAAGCAATTAGCTTTTGAAAATTTGAGCCTACATGTTCTGCAATCTGCACTGTCCTTGACTTGCATGGAGTACTCCCTATTGTTTTGTAATTTGTTGCGCCAATGAATTGTACCTTGTATTCACAGAACATTATTTTGTTTTTGGCAGTGAGATGTACTCATAGAGAACTCACCAAATTGGCATAGGTAGTGAAATAGGTAGTGATAGTCACACTCCCTAAATCACTAAAGACACATTATCAACTAAATACACTTTGTGATTTATCATATATTAATATTTAAAGTTAATATAACAAACAATGTTGCATATAAAATTTTGAATCTATCCACTATTGATTTCATTCAGTTATTTTTCGAGAAAAAAAAAATTGTATAAAATTTTATGTTAAAATCTTGGCATCTATTACTTAAATTTTTCACTAATTAAAATAGTTTTCATTATTATTACATTCAGTGGTCATTAATTTTGTATAAAACTTTTAATTTCCTAAGTATTACAGAGTATACCAACGTGCATTTCACTAATTTTTTAGGGATGCATTTCACTTTTTTGGTTTTTCTAATCTATATAATTTTTTATTATTTTAAAAAAAGGTTATATAAGTTTTATTATTTATAAAATATAAAGATTTAAATAAAATTTTAAAACTATTCCTCACTAGTTTTCCTTTTTAATACTTTTCAACAACAAATATTTACATAAACATTAGTAAATGCGTATCATTATTAAAACTACAATTTTTGTTCCAAAAATAAGAGATCATATCTAATAATTAGGAAAGATTTATCTAAGACGTACCATATATTTATTGGAATATTAAATAAATTAAAACATATCTTAATTCATTTTTTAAATTGAAAATATAATTTTATCAAAATGTTAAAAGATTGAAAATGTATGTGACACTGTGCAAAGCACGAAATTAAAAGTCATTTAGAAAATGTATATATATGATCAAGTGAGATTGCAATCTAATGAAACAAATAACAATGCATCTCGTGCATTAGATGTAAGATCTAAGAGCTTGAAAAATTCAAAAAAAGAACTAAAAAAATCCGAAAAAAACGATGGCATTGTGGTGAATAAGTTGAACTTTACTCCCATTGCCGAAAATGCACTACCACAATGTAAACATGCATCGTGAAGGCATAAAAATGTTAGTCGTTGTTAGTCGTTGTGCCCACTCCTTAGAGGGGGGTGGGGGTGAATGAGGGGTTTAAAATCTTTTAGAAGTTTAATAAAAACGGTGTCGGCAAATGCGGAAGCAATGAATAAAATGTAGAAATAAAAGCGTTAAGTAAAATTAAAATGCACACTGATTTTATACTGGTTCGGGAACACCCTACTCCAGTACCTCGAGGCTCCTTCTCAAGGATTTCCGAATCCACTAAGTCCCGGCCTCTTGAACTCTGTCAAAGCACCGTACTAGTTTTGGCAAACAACCCTTGCCAATAGGATTCACTCCGAGATTTTACCACAGCTATCTCGAACCGTTTATAACGAAGATTTAACGGCTATCTTCTACCGTTCCCCCAAGGATTTCAAAGGCTATCCTTGAACCTTTACCCAAGGATTTATACGGCTATCCTTAACCATTACAACGTGAGAATTTAACGGCTGTTCTCGACCGTAAGAAAGTGTGTTTGAAGAACATAAATAAAGATTCTACTCAACGGCTAGAATATAAAAATGAAAAACTAAAACTTAGCCGGTGTAGAAGGAAATTATACTCTCTCAAAAATACAATTCAAACTTATGAATATGAGAGTATGTAACTAGAAACACAAGCTCAAGTGCGTGTGTAAAAATCAAGAATTTAAGAATCTTGAAATAGCCAAAATATTGAAAATAATGAATAAAAGAATGAACAGACTTAAGATATAAAGAGAGGATGATTTGAGTTTTGTTTCTTATTTGAAAATGAAGGATTAGGCTTGTATTTATAGCTGAAGATGTTAATCAGCCGTTGGGAGACGATTAGGGTTGATTAAATTTAAATTCTCAAATCAGGAACAGTAACCCAACGGTCACGGTAGGCCAGTACCGTCTAAAACTAAAAATTCATTCGGCTCTGGCGGAACTTGACCCCTAACGGTAGAGGGGTACCGTGCCGGCGGTATACCTTAGGGATTATGGGGGACCATCGATCACCCTTAGGGATTCACTACTATGCTTGTCACGGTATCTGGTATTGACAGCCCAACCTGATGAGGTATATGAGTCGTGTATCTTGCGAAGCCCCTCCTGTCCATCCACCACTCAGTAGTGGGGCTCCGCACTGCCGTAGTGAACTATAGGGGGTGCCCTATAGGAATCTACCTCGGCTTGGAGCCACAGAGAGAGGTGGTTAAATACAAAGGGCCTGTTTGGAAATAGCGTTAGCTATTAGCGTTAGCGTTTTGAAAAAGGCTATCTACGGACAGCGTTTAGCGTTAGCGTTTTCAAAGCAATCTGCACCATTAAAATTTTATCCAAAACGCTAACGCTAATCTCTAACGCTATTCTCAAACAGGCCCAAAGTGTCCACCTTCCTATCACCAATTGGTTTTAGGAAGCATTTGTTACCTCTTTAACTTCGGAACTTTGTAGTTAAGCGTGCTAGAATGGAAGTAGTCCCAGGATGGTGACCCACTGGGAAGTTCCAGAAAAACGATCCTACAAAAAATACATCATTCTCACATTAAAGGTCTATTCTCGCAGTAAAGATCATTCTCACTCGAATCAACAGCTATATATATATATATATAGATATATATATATATATCTATATATATATATATATATATATATATCTGTGTGTGTGGATTGATTCCAGTGAGATGACATGCTTCGGTCAGATTACACAAAGCTCACCGCTACTCACTGCAAAGCTCACCAAAGACAACTACAAAGCTCACCAAATTGTAAGCCAAAGCTCACCATATTTTTTCAACACTTTAAATTTTTTTTGAAAAAATAAAATCAAAGGAAGAGGTGTTGACTGGACTTTGACTGTTGACCGCCAGCATTGACTGCCGCCGTCGCCAGACTCCGGCAGCCACCGCCGGCCGCCGTCGCCAGACTCCGGAAGCCACCGCCAGCCACCGGTCGTCGCCGCCGCCGTTGACCGGTGTTGTTATTTTATTTTTAATTAATTTTTTAATTTTCAAAATTTTTTTTAAAAAAGTGAGTTTTGTTGTTCAAAGTGGTGAGCTTTGCTTTATTTCCAGGTGAGCTTTGCATTGTCCATTGGTGAGCTTTCTAGTGTGGTATTGTGAGTTTTGTGTCATTTGACCGAAGCATGTCATCTCACTGAAGTCAATACCATATATATATGTGTGTGTGTGTGTGTAAATAAATATGAGGGTGTAAATGGATATTAATCAGATTTGGATGTACCATTACCAGATCCGTATCCGTTTATTTTTATTGGATATCAAATTCGGATACGAATCTTGACGGATACTTAAAATCAAAACTGTATCCGCATTCGTCGGATATCGGATATATCGGTATCCGTTTCCAATTTTTTAAGTTAAGTTGGAAAATACTATAATTTCCAAATAAATTAAAGTCAAAATATTATTTATTCAATTGTAATTTGTTACGGAGTAATTTTTTCTTATTTTTTATAATTTATACGGAGTAATATTCTACGACAACTCCATATGGTAAAAAGATATACACAATACACACACACACATATTTTTATGTGTCTACACATATATTTTGGATATAAAAATGTCTTATACTTTGAGATGTCAATAGAAAATCAAAATACAATTATAAAAAATTAGGAAAAATTATATATAACGGACCGGATATATGGATAAATGATTACTTAAACGGATGTCTATGCGGAGTGGATTATAAATAGATCGGATGTATGATTACCAAATTCGTATGTGTTTACCAATCTGATATCCTTAGTCAGATACGGATAATAACCGCTTTTAACGGATGCGCATATTTTCCGTACAAACGGACACGGATTCAGACGGTAATAGAATTTTCAGTTATCCATTTACAACCCTAAATAAATATTTAAAAATTGATAAATATAATGAATAAATAAAATTCAAGAAACACTTATGTTCTTAAATTTATCGACAAAAAATTAAAACATAAATAAAGAACACTTTTCATATTTGAACTTGAACTAAACTTTCGAAACAAGCCTACGGAGTATTATGTAATGAAGAAATACAAAAATAAATATATTGATAATTTATTAGTAAATGTACAGTTTAAGATTCTTCGTATGAGAAGTTACCTTGTACTGCTCCAAAATGCCTCCAATTGTTTGATTCGTTTGATTTTCATAATATTTCTTCGATTTTGTATTTTTGGTTCATTTTTTGTGATAATTTAGGAAAATTATGGGATCAGATTGGTACTTGCTCGCCTCTAATAAATAAACGTGAAATTATGGTCATGCTCTCCTCAACTTATCCTTATTATTTATAACTTATCATATTGGAATCAAATCTAGATAAACAAGCTTTAAATATATAACTACAACCATATCATATCAAACCTAATCATATCAGGCGAAGAGAACATGGTGAAAGTCTTGGGTGAGTGAATCCCCTCATTGCCTCTTGTAAAGAGTGTAAGAGGTCTTCTTCTTGGGTCATGCTAGGGTTCTCCCAAATGGGTGTGCACCCAAGCTTCGCACAGATGACACAGATGATAATCATCTGTGCAAAGCTTGGGTACACCCATTGTAGCACCCAATTGGGGGCACCCTAACATTTTTCTTCAAGCAATACAACACGTAAAAGATACAAAGTAAAGTCATGTTCTCTTCACCTGGTTTGATTGGTTCTGATCTGATTAGAATAAGTTCTGATATGATCTGATCTGAATGTAGTTATATTTAAAGTTATTTCTGATCTGATCTGATTCCAATAAGAATAAACAATAAGTAAAAAAAAGTTGAGGAGAACATGGCCTAAATCTAAAAACTCTACTCCTAACCAATTGGGATTGCTATTTTGGACATGCTTTGGTTATCAAGGAAAACTTTAATTTGATTCATAACTATCTCTACAATGGCTCCTAACACCTTCCATCATCTATCTTCTATCCTTTTTATAATAGTCGTGTGTGAATTGCATAGGATCGTTCCACCGATTTCCTTTATCAGAATTGATTATGTTGAGCACATTATTTCTAAGATGCTTGGTCCTAACTAATAGTCTCTTTGCACTAGGGGTGTTCAAAAATATCCGATCCGAAATACCCGTCCATGATCCGGGCCGATCTGATCCGAAAAATGGATATCTGATCTAATATTTTAGCTTTCGGATCGGATATCCGAAAAAAATTGGTTCGGATATGGAATGGAATATTAAGATTTCAGATATCCGTGGATATCCGAAGTTCATATTTTTAAAAAATAAATATAGAAATAAAGCTTAGACAACTTAAGCCCAATTCATTTTCATCATCATAAATATTTGAATCTAAGATTAATTGAAGTTTTTTACTTTAGTCTTTTTTATCTATGTTTTATTTGTCAATTATGTTGATATTCTTTTTTCATAAATTTATAAAATTATGACTTATGATAACACTATCAAAGTAACTATGACATTTAAAATAGAGTTGACTTCAAATTCAAGTCTAATTTATGGCCTCTACTGTTTTAACAAATATAAAATCATTCTAAATACTTTTTTAGAATCATTGACAAAAATAAAAATTCAAAAAAATAAAAATAAAAATAAAATCCGGATATTCCATTGACCCGATCCAAAATTTCGGATATCCGAAATTCGGGTATCCGGTAGTTTTCGGATCGGACATGGAATAGATATGTACCTATCCGAAAATTTCGGATATCCGAAAAACAGGATCGGATCGGATAGGATATATCCGAATGAACACCCCTACTTTACACTACATTAACCAAAGAAGAGTTTGGTGTTTCAAATGTATCATTTTGTACAAAACAACTTTGTTCCATAGCCTGCTACAAATACCTAGCAATCCAGTCTCGGCAAATGCAACTCCGGAGTTGTCTACCACAAAATGCAAAAAGAAAAAATGCATTGAAACTTATAAAAAAAGAAGTATTAGTAGACACCACACACAGTGAGTATGATAAATACAATGTTAACATGTACTCGTATTTAGGAAAGACACTATAGAGGTTGGCCACTAACAATGTTAACACCTCACCGCAACATGCTTCAGCTTGCCTCCAAAGCTCACCACCATACTACACTTTCGGATCACCTTCCACTCTTCATAGATGCAGTTGTCTCCATCCAACTCGCGTAACCGGCCACTGCAGAATTGATTGAAAAGGTGCTCTTAACACCCAAACTGATAGAAAAGCTGAGTGGGTATTCAAGGGGAAAACTATCCTCGCCCGACCATCTGTTGACGCTTCTCAATATGCCCGGCACACCGCGGAAAGAAGAAACGACGTGCCCCAAATCGTCCAGCGCCTTGAGCTCCAGAGCTATGTTCACAATATCGTTCCACATCAACTCGGGACTCCCATAGCCCGGATCTTCTCCCTGATGGAATCTATCGTCGCAAAGCAGAACCAGGTCATCAGCTGCTGCCAAGCTCAAATTGTTGTAGATGTTTGCAGGACCGAATCTCTTAGATGGGTATTCATTGCACATCTCCACAATCAACTACACTTGCGCTCTCGTAAAGTGAGCGACATCTACCACCAGACTATTCTTCATCAACTTGGCCAACTTAGTGCTGGGCTTTGGGTTCGGTACATCTTGGCAGCAAGAGCCTTCATCTTGTACTTGGTCCTACCAGAGGCCAGGTCACTGCCAGATTGAAGCTCTGGGGCATGAGGTACCCTTTGAGAAATATATGCCTTAGGTCAGTCTTCATGGCCAACCACTCACTAACATAAGTAAAGGACACTCCTGTCAACTCTATAGGGCTTATACCATGTAAGGCTGACCGGAGAAGTATTACACTTAAGTGAAACTAACCTAAACATATATGTCAATTGCTGTAAATGGGAGGATGAAGTGGAGCTGGATGGATATAACCAATAAGGAGGATCAGCTTGTTAATTAGTGTAAAATAATTATATTAATAGCATGTGGCTATAAACCTGGATCATCATATACATCAGCCTCTTTCTATGGGCATAGGTTGCAGAAAAGAGTTTGTAAATTGAGTTCCGATCATAATATTAAAATAGACCAGGGAACAAATTTCTATGCAAAGAGAAAAGGGTGTGTAGATTGAGTAGAAGTTTATGAGATCAGTAACCGTGGCACACTCGTGCCACCACCATGACCGTCGTACAACGTGGTTGTACCTAAGGTTTTAAAATCCAAGAACCCTAAATACAAAATATCTTAAAATCCTACCCTAATTATAAAGATATTAAAGTAGAAAGAACAAAAGGGTGTTACCCGCAACTTGAATCCGACCCTTTCTTCTTGTAAGGCTGTGGAGGAGAGGAAAGCGCCTGAGACGGGCGCTAGGGGAAAGGGCCTGAGACCCCGTGAAAGTTGACGCATTGTATTTTTGAAATGGCAATCTAAGTCACCTCAACCAGTAGTAAAAAAATAAAGTATATGTGTTTTTTTAAATCACTCAAAATGATGAAGTCAAGTTAAGCAATAAAAAATCAACTTTAATGCTTAAGATGCTGTTTAAAGCTAGAAATCAGATTTCAAAATCGGATTTTGAACGAAATTCACATTTCGTGCAAAATGCAGCTTATATGAATAAAAATCAATTTGACAAAAAAACTTGATATATGTTTCTCGATAATGTTCCTATGCAAATTTCATCTCTAAAAGTTCAAAATTCAGCACGAATCACTTTAAGTTTTCTATAAAATCAGCAAGCAATCATGTTAAAGTATAGATTCAACAATAAACATTGACAGTTGAGCAAAGAAGCACTTCTGGAACACAAACACAGCATGCAAATCGGCACAAATAGTGCATTTTTTTCTTCAAAACAGCTTGTTTGAATCCAAAATCTTTTAAAACTAAGCACCTAATGCCTCAAGATAGAGATATATGCTCTTAGTTCAATCTAAATGCATATCTGAGCAATAAGAGTTCATATTATAAGAAAAGAAGCATTTTTTCGATTAAAAAATGGTAAAAATCTCTTTAGAATAAAGTCTAGGAAACTAACCTGCCTGTTGCAGATTGCAGTTTTGCCCGTCTTCTTGGGCAACCCGTTCCTAAAAGCCCTCAAGTAAACCAAGGTCAATTCAATTAGTGCAATAGGACCCAGTAAACTATCTCTTAGCCGAACCCCGTCTTCTTGGGTTTCCCAGTTTGCTTTTCCTTGGCCACATCAAAGATGCTCGTGCAGCTATAGGCAGGTTCAATAACTCATGAGACTACAATTAGAACAACAAAGAGTAATTTAGCATTGGGTGCAGAGAATTGATATGCTAAAGCAAAATATCCAACCCTTACTTCAAAAGAGTCTTCAAAATGAAACCTGGGAAATTTTATAATTAAACCTTGTTTATTTGATGTTCTTTTGAATATGTTTAGGTAGTTACTATGCAATTTGGATGGTCAAAATTAACTAGCCTCCATTAGAAAGGCCGTAACTAATTTGCCGCCCAGGAGTTCCAAAAGGCTATGACTGAAGATAGAAATGTTACAACCAATACAGAGTATGATCTTGTAAAAGGGTATGGAAACAATTGGAAGGCATAAACTAAACATACATTGATAAATTCCTGATTAAAGAGCAAAGACAGTCTCGGCCTCAAAATCTGGTCCCACATATCCTACCAGTTGAAG